TGGCAAAAGCAGTAAAAGAGAATGGAGGAAAGCTTGTAAAGAGAGCACACCTATAGATCAGCTTTCTCCATATTGTCATTGCCAAAGACACATGCTGGTGCAATGACTGAAGAAAGCGTCAAGGACAGAAAGCAGGCAGTTTAAGAACAGTTTATCTTGAGCAGAAACAATCCTGTCAGGCTCTTCCCTAGTGGCATTAATATTCAAAAAAAAACCTGAAAAATTCTTACTACATCTTGTAGCTGCACTGCTAATCTGGGACCATTTGTTAAACTCCCCAAGCCCCAGAGCTTCTGAGCAGTTCAGTCCCCACCTGGTATTATCAGCTTTTACAGAAAGAAATTATGGAAAATATAACAGACTGCTTCTAGCTGACTGCCTTTTACTTTACGTTGTTCCTTTATCTTGTCCAACACTGTGTCTCTGTCAAGTTACGTCCTTAATGAGGTCATTTGCTCCGCGTACATGGGGAGATTATGTTTTACGGTAATGTATTTTCTGCTTTCTGAGCCATTCCTGGGAAGACAAACTCCTCAGCTGTGGAAAGAATTTGCCATTTAACAGAAGAGGACCTTTATGGCTTGTCACAACTTTCAATCATAGCTCTAGTTTTGATTCTTTAACAGTGACACATGGGGGCAGAAACATTTTGCATAACCATTTAGCACAACCATACAAATAGCCTCTTAAAAGGATGCCACGAAAAGAAAGAGCACTGTCTGTCAGTGTTAATGATATCTGCATATAGTTAACGTAACTGAAACCTATAACATTTTTGGCTTAGTTTTGCTCCAAAATTGCATTTTAACTATCATTTTCCTTTATAAATAATGTATGGCAATAATGATTTGGCTTTATCTTTATTTTTTATTTAAAAAACATTTTTTTGGAAACACACACAAATACACACACACACACACTGCATATCTAGAGGTCCACGTAGGACAAAATGAATGGCTGAGTTTTCAAAATTGTATGAGCATGTGAAACTTTACATTGAAAAGCATAGCAAATTGCAAGCATGCTAAAAAAAAAATCTGCAAAAGTGATTATAGTATAATGACAGTATGTGCAAAATAAAGAGAAAATCATAAAAAACTGGGAGAAAAGACAAATTGCTTACAAAGGAGTGACTGTCCATTTTCACAGCACATTTATTAGCAGCAGAGATCCTTACTATCAGAAATGGGATGCTAAAATAAAGATCTTTTAGGACCCACACTAGGGGGATTGTTTTGTTTTCAAACATTATCTAAAAGAATTACTAAAAGTTGGATTGTGGCATGGTACCCAGAAATTGATTATATGGTTACAGAAGCAATGGTGTAACAAAGTACTTGTATTTGGACAGTGTACATCAATATACTGAAGTGCTCTGCATAAATGCTGCTTTTTTGCTGTGCTTATGAAACGTTTTCCAGTTTAATATATAACCATCATGACTTGGTGCTCATGTCAGAAATTCTTCTATTTGTGATGAATTGTTTTCAGGATAAGGATGTCAGCTTCTGCATGTAGTTAAGAATGGAGTGAAACCACAGGCTTGCTCTGAGATCAAAACTTTAAAACTTCTGCTTTGCCTGTCTAACAAAGGTCATAAAAACAGAATTTGTCTTTAAAACCATTTGAAAAATGGACCCCTTCCTAAAGCCCAGGACTTCCTTCTGTCGACACAGAACTCACAGGGTCAGAGGTCAGGTATTTTAATGCCAGGACAAGGGGAGCTGCACTTCTAGTTCCGTGTGTTGCCCTCTGCCGATGCATATGTCCTCTCTCAGTACAGGAGTGTCTAGGGGGTGAAGGGAGCCCGTTTGTCACAGGGCACTACCTACCTGGGGAAGTTGCTGTGTTTCCTTTTTCATTGGGGAAATTACTCCATTTTTGTATGTGTACTGTTGTGAGATTGTCACATTTGATTAAGATCATAATCTCTTATTTTTATTTTAGAAATGAATACCTTTGTAGAGCTTAAATTAAATAATGAGAACAGATAAGTTTTTGAGGAGGAGCCTTTACAAAAAAAGACTGAATGTTGGAGAACAATTCCATGGATTCTCTGGTCGGTCAACCTCTCTTCCCAGATTGTTTGAAATTATATTAGAGCAATTACAGATTATAACTTGAACATCTGAAAACCCATTTAGAGAAATAAGAAATTCATTTTTAGTGTATCGTACTCTAGATTGTAAATGAGATGCAAGATTAATTGTCTAATAGGTTAGGGTTTTAAACTGAAATTTTCTGTTCTTTTATATTTATATAATCATTGAAGGTTAGTTTAGAAAATTTGAAAATACTGATTTTAAAAAATTCTTATTGGTTAAATTGAAGTTATTGGGGCTGGGGATTTAGCTCAGCGGCATAAGCGCCTGCCTTGCAAGCAGGCAGTCGTGAGTTTGATCGCCGGTACCGATAAAAAGGAAAAAGACAAAAAATAAAAAAATAAATTGAAGTTATTAGGAATAAAATAGGTCCTGGCCACTTTGTATCTCTAAGTGCTGCTTGTTCGCCCCATTTCTGGAGCGAGGCAGAGGGTTTTGAGTCTGAACAGAGAAAGTACAGTGTGTTGCGAGGGCGCCTGAAAGAAACGCAGCTTCGTATTGTTCTTCCCAGGAAAGGGGGAACCAGGCGTCCAGTCCCACACTTGGGTCAAGTTGTACATTGCCAGGTGGAAATAGTCGATGAAAATAATAGCTCTCTTGAGAGAATGTACATGTGGTGAGTGTGCGCGCACACACTTCAGCAGCTTGTTTGGCCAGCGGTGTCCTTTATTGGCCAGTAGGAACAAGCATCTCCTGAGGTGCCGATCGTCCTTCCGTCTCACTCGTGGGCTCCTCCCCCGTGACTGTGCCTTCCTGAAAGCCGGTGAATTCTCTGTAGCTTGAGCTCACTGAACAGCTTCATAGCTGTGATGCCTGTGCTGCATCAGAGCCTCTTTCCCTTGTGTGTTGCTGCTGCGCTTGTTGAAGTGTTTTGGCTCTGATTGAGTTTCATCTGGAGGTCACTGAACGTCAGATTTTCAACCCTGTAACTCCTCTATCTCGGCAAGCACTCTGAGCTGAAGCTCGGAGGGTTTTACTTTATCTCTTGGTTTTCTTGAGGAAACAATCTTGTCATCCTTGAATCATTCATGTGGCACGTTTGAGCGTTTGTCACGTGCAAGATACTGTCCGTCCTGGGCATTCAGAATACATGTATGACAACTGCAAAAATCATTGTGTCCTTGGAGTTTACACCAGAGCCTTAATTCTCATGTGCTTCTCTTCTGGACAGAGGGATCATTTCCCCCAAGCTGTAAAACTCTATTCATTTACTTAGCTATTTTATGGTTGTTTTCTGTTGTTTTTTGCTACTAAGTTTGCTTAACATGTGAATAAGACACATGACTGCCCTGGGAGGGTTCTTGTGTGTGTGAGAGGCAGATGGATAGATAGGCAAACATGGAAAAGCCCCAGGGTCCCAGCAGGTGGGCAGGAGAAGTAGAAGCAGTGGCTCTGGGGGAAGCCAGCGGAAGAGAAGAAGGACCCTTCAACTACGGCATGATTTTTATGACAGGTACTATTAAACTTGGTCTCTTGATTACCTCTGTATGCTTGGGGTGTGTAGAAATGTAGCAGGTGATGAGGTCAGAGGGAAGATGTGGGTGCAGCCAAGCAGTGGGACCCCTCAAGTACGTGATAGGTATTCTGCGAGCCAGCCTGGACTTCAGAGAATGGCCGTGTCGTGGTCCTCTCTGTCTTAGGAGAATAACGGAAGATTGGGATCCACTGGGGAGCAAAAGCTGGGTGGCAGGAAGAATGGCCGTGTCGTGGTCCTCTCTGTCTTAGGAGAATAACGGAAGATTGGGATCCACTGGGGAGCAAAAGCTGGGTGGCAGGAAGTCACCTGAGTGGTTTTCTTTCGTTTATCCTTTTATTCATTCAGCATATGTTTATGTAGGGCTTGCCTTGTAGCCAGTGCTGGATTTTTCCAAATAGTTAGGACAGGAGCTTACAGGACTGGAAATATAGCTGTGGTAAAAAGAACGTAGGAACATTAGACTGGGGACAGGATAAGACCACTGACGTAGGAGTGAGACCTAAGGAAAGGCCAACTTAAGGTGTACAAGGGCATATGTCTGTGTGCGTGTGGATGCCATTACGCGCTTGGAAAACAACTCACTCTCTAGGGCCATTTTTGTGGTAAAATGCAGGGGCTGTCATGAGAATCCCTAGTACTTTGTTAAAGTTGGCCTGGGACATTGTTCAGCCAGTGAATTCCTTGTGTACTCTTCCTTCCACAAGCAAGCTGGCAGCACCACTGGTCCATGAGAGCGTTTCCTCTTTGGTAGAAACGTACATTTGAAAATCAATTATATCAGTGATGCCAGTCTTAGATGGTAGTTCAAGAAGAATGGAGCCAATTTAATGCTGTAACTTAACTTTCAAATTTCAGGGTTTTTTTTTTTTGCTGCATGACTGAAAGATACGTATGAACGCTAATTGGGCAGTACGTGCAGGCATCTCAGTCTCTTTTGCTAAGTGTTGATTGCTTTCTGCTTTACTAGCCAGTGACGCATAAAAATGCAGCAAGTGCGCTCTACTGCACGTACAGATAGACTATCCTCCCAATAACTAATAACCCAGATTTAATTCTCAACTGACAAAACTGATTTCTTTGGTATTTTGTGATAAGAAGAACTGAAGAAAAGCCTGGAAATAATGTAATAGCTTGTCTTGAAAAAATGCTCCTGTTACTCAGGAGTAGCCAGCCCATTACTCTTGGTCCAGGAAGTATGCTGGATATTAAACATGTGGTAGTTGTTATTCATGTCCTTTTTTTTTTTTAGGTAAGAAATGTTGTTCTTTGGACTGAGTTAAATGCTGCTCGGCATAAAAGATGTGATTTGGAACAAAGCCTGCAGACTGTGACTAATTGACATGCACTGGGCTAATGAGAAGACAGAATGTCTCTAATCAGCAGCAGAACACGCATTCACCAAGGGTCTCTTTCCCTCCTAGGACTTCCTTCGCGGGGCATCTGGCTGGGATCCTTGTTGGACTAATGTACACTCGTGGGCCTCTGAAGAAAATCATGGAAACATGTGCAGGTATACAACAAAATGCCTTTGGCGACCCAAGTTAGAAGTGCATCTTAATTTTAATGTGAACCGAAGCAACTCCAAGCGTCTTGTGGTTCAGCATAGGAATCCCTTAATATGCTCACTTTTTTGAGCTAGGAAATAAAACAGCTGGTACAGTGCCTCACAAGGCTCCATAAGTGAAAACACAAACTCAGATTTCAACTCTTAGGCATGCTTAAGGAACAAGTATGGGTGTATATTCATACCTTTGGCCCTAAAGCTATTCCCAGGAAACTTATTACAGTAAGATACCATGATTACCATGAAGATTACCATGAATTGCCCCCAAAATACTCCCTCAAAAGTGCAAAGAACTGCAGTGGGTTTAAAATAATGCATTAATATTACATGAATTTATATATTTGTAAAATGAAGTTTAAAAAGAAAACCAAATCAGGACTGAAGTACAAGGCCAGCATTTTAGAGAATTCAGAATGACCACCAGGTCCTTGGCAGGTAAGACACATGGGGTTTTATAGAAAACACGGTGAATGTTAAAATTTTAATTTGTTGCAGCAAAAGGCGCGTTGCCGTAACCCTCCTGCTGTGTCTGAATACACTTCTCCGATTGCTTTCACCATGTTCTGGAGGAGATTGGGACAACTCTTTTGTGAGTGCCCCTTAGTTGTACTGTGGTGGCCACCATGATATCCTGCATTTATTGCAGATGTTTATCTTTCATGGTCGTTTTGACTTTGGGGAAGAGCCAGAAGTTGTATGGTGACTGATCTGGTGAATCAGGTGAATAAGGACACACCATGGTGATGTAACGAGCATGTCTTTCTGTTGGATGATACTTAGCAGCAGGAAACTCCCAGAACTATTTGAGAAAGTGACAAGAACAATGAGATAAGTGTGTTCAAATGTGAGGGAGTATTTGGGGAGTTAATGGTAGTATATCTTACTGTAATAAATTTTATTTATATTTAAACACATTTTGATCACCCCTTGTATATTCATACAGACATTCCTATTTTCACTTGAAGCTTGGCTTCTGCATTTTTCCTTTTTTTTCTCTTTAAATTGATGTTCAATGAAAATATTTTATTTAGAAATAAATGCAGTTTTTGATGTCTTAATTGGAATGCTCTACCGGTTTTGACTTGTAAGGAAACTGTTTCACAATCACTTGTTTTATAGACCATGTGAGTTCCAATATTTCATCTTTTATTCATGGAAAATCTTCTGAGACTGTTTTACCTTTTCTTGAACCATAAATAATTTGTTTTCACAGTTTGTGCTGATGACTAGTTTTCTTGAGAACCATATAATATTCATGTATTACAAAACTTTCTTGGCACTGTTGTGTCACCTTTATTAGCAGGTTGTGTTCACTTCAGGATATTTTTATAGGCTGTACAGCATTGAAGCAGATTCCCATTTTCCTGCTTTGCCCATTATTGTGTTTTCTTGTGTGCACTTTGAAGAAGCAGCAGGAGTTTCATTTATTGAAACCATTCCATTTTATTATGTTGTCAATACAATTTAATTATGGAGATCTAATAATGAGTACTGATAACAGAGAAAAAATGCTCTCAAGTGTTCATTGTTTTTGTTTCTTTTGTGTGTGTGTCTTGAGATTAAGTGGTTATTAAAGCTTTCTGCAGATGTAGTACAAAATTTAGGCAAGTGCTTAGTTTCCTTTTTAAAGAGGATTTTCCCCATAATTATAGCATGTAAAATCATAATTGTCTTCTTATAATCTTACCTGTTTTTTTTTGTGGAGACATTTTTAACACATCAATCTTTATGCAAAGTAATACAGTAGAAAATTAAATATTCGGTGCCATTTGCAAACAGTCTTCAGACTCTGCCTGCTTTTTGGTAAAACTAGAGGAAAGATCTGGAGTGAGCTAACAATGGAAGTGGTCCAGGAACCGCCTGGAGAATAACTAAGCATCCAGCACGTGGAAGTTGCTGTTTGATGCCTCCTAAACATGAGGGTGCCGCCGAGGGTGTCCCCCGGCCCTTCCCTGTCTCCATCCAACTGTGACAAAAGGAGAAAGTCCCCTAGGAAGATCAGGAAACATGCCTGTCCCTGTTGGAGAAGGTTCTGTCTTTAGCCAAAATGTCTCAACTTGCCCCGTGGTATCAAGATCTAAGCTTGCCACCTTTAGGGGCAAAGACTGTCTTAAATCAATGGGAACCTCTAAGAAACTACAGCAAGTATAAATTGAGGTTCCATTGCCCACTCTCATCCTAATGCCTATAGAGCTAGCCCTAAAGCAAAGGGAATTTAACAATTGTTTAAACATTTGAAGTGACCCTGGGCCTTGTCATAAAGAACCTTGTACTTGTTGGGGAGATTATTAAAGCCTTATGTTCCTACCATTGAGAGGTTTATTTCTTTCATATTTAGATACTGTTTGTTCTACTACTGGGTACTCAAGACAGCCGTACTACTTTAACAGTTCAGGTAAGTACTTTATTTCATATAATACAGTTTAATTTATTTTAAAAATTATAGCATTTTCCAAGACGAGCTAATTTATATTGTGGTAGAGTAGTTCACATGTCATTTAGTTGTATCTTCCACATTCCTGGAAGCTAGATGGGGAGGAGTGACCCAGGAAGAATATTTGGGTGGGTGGTAGGGAAAGCCAGAGTAGAAAGTAGTGGCTGTCTTGAAAAAATGTAGATGATTGGTGTGAAGTCTTGCATCCATGATAGAATTCATGCTAGATGAATTCATAGATTCCCTGGTGCTTAGCCTCAGCCTGTACTGTTGGCAGTGTGTTAGAAGCTAGCTTCAGGCGCATAATTCTCCACATTCAAAATCATGTGCATGGTCAAGGGGACTCACACATACCTTCAGATGCTAATAGGAATTCCTTTAATAAATACTGTGTGGCTTAGGAGAACAGAGCTTTGTAGATGTCTGTATAAATATGTAGAGCAGCATAAGACTTGTTTAAGACTAAGGCCTTTACATTCCAGCCAGGTACAGTGTATTCAGTTTTTGTTACTGTAACGAAATACCAGAGGCAGGCTAATTTTACAAAGGAAAGAGGTTTATTTAGCTGACAGTTTTAGAGGTGAAAGAGAATTGTGCTAGCATCGGCTCAGTTCAAGTGACAAATTCTTGCTGGCCCTGTCCTGAGGCACCACATGGTGAGAGATAGTGTTTATGATTATGGTTGTTGGGTTCTCTGTCCTCCTAAAGCCACAGGATGCTTGCATAGGATGGGGCCTTCTGTCTAATGACCTTATCTCAAACTGATCCTTTTCCAAAGACTCCACCTTTAAGCACCATAATCAGATTAAATTTTTGCCCATAATACCATTAACATATGACTTTCAGGATTAAATTCAGGGTGACAAATCATATTCAAGACAAAGGGGATTATAATATCTTGGCTCAGTGTCATCAGTTACAATTCAAATGTTGAAATGCTAACTTCTAACGTGATGGTTTTGGGGGTGGGACTTGTGGTAAGAAATTAGATCACGAGGGTAGAGGGTTCACAGATATGATTAGTGCTCATATAAAAGGAATCCCACAAAGCTCCCTAATCTCCTTTCTGTTCCACAATGAGAAGTCGTCAAGCCCGTACCCCGCACTGGAATGAAACGGACATTCTGATCTGGGATGTCAGTTTCCTGGAACTATGAGAAATAAATCGTTGTTGCTTAAGCCACTCTGTCGGTGATTATTTATGATAGCAGACCAGATAGACTGTGCTGACATGTCTTCATAACGTACAGCAAACTAAGTGGAGAGACCTCCCGCCCTAATGTAGGCTGTACCACCAATAGGATGGAGTCCCAAGAAGAACAAAAGTGTGAGGAGGAGGAGGCATGTCACCATGCCCCCCATGAGGCCAGCAGCTTCCCTCCCCTGTGCCCGGCTGCCTTGTTGCCACGGGACCTGGACTGAAACCTAAAACTGAGCCAAAGTAAACGTTTCCTTTTTGCAGTTGTTTTTCTCAGGAGTTTTGTTACAGTAGTCAAAAGCAGACTAAACACTTTTTCACCATGCACAGTGCTCTTAATCACAGACTGGTTAACCCAGTAGCATTTGTGAGTGATCCTGTTGTGCAGAACAGTAGATTGGACATTGTAGGAGAGAGAAAGAGACCAAGAGCTGTATCTAAGGCACTTTATAATGGGGGCTTGGGGATGTAAACATGAAATAATAGAAAGTAATCAGGCTTCTGAGGGAGTAGACATGGAATGTTAATCCATGTGGGATGTAAGAATAATGGATGGTGGCCATTTATGTTACTATTTGTTGAGTTCTTGCTGTTTCCTAGTCATCTTGACCCTCCCATCCTACCCTCCCCCCCCCCCGCCCCCCAGCTGGCTGTGCTGTGCTCTACAGCTCCTCTCCCCTGCATAGCCAGGAGCTGGTAAAGTGAGCCTCAGAAGTGAAAATGAGCTCAGAAAGTGCCTCCAGGCTCATTTCCTTTATTTCCTTTTTCCTCAAGACTCAAACTTTTGCATTACCTGTTATACTGTGTCTGAATGTATTTTCATATATTTCCTTGTCATTTACTGGATCTTGACTGAAGAGTGAGCCCAGAGCCAGTTATTCCTTCCTGGCAGAAGTAGAAATTCAGCCCAGCAAAGTGAACACAGAGGGGGCTGGGGATTTAGCTCAGCGGCATAAGCTTCTGCCTTACAAGCCGGCAGTCGTGAGTTCAATCCCTGGTACCGGTAAAAAGGAAAAAGACAAAAAAAAAAAAAAAAACAAAGTGAACACAGAGGGTCAGTACTTAGGCTGGGAGGAGCAAGTGGGATGGCTTTCCCAGGGGTCATCCAGAGGAAGTGGAGGGCAGGGACTTGGATGGTGGAAAGCAGTAGGCAGAAAGGGCTTTCCTGTGAGCAGAAGCAGGCTCTGCAGACGCCTGTTTGAAATCACTCAGAATACACTGGACAGACACTACAGAACTCACTCAGTGGCTTGATAGTGTTGAAGTTACAGTCAAACTGCGTCTTCTGTGTAATTTTCTCCAGCCTCAGATCCTCATTATCAGTCCTGGCTGTATAATAGATGTATTGCCTTAAGGGCTTTTGTAACCTATCCATGACTTGAATTTTTCCCAGACCAGGGAGGTCAGAATGAGCACAGAGGCAGGATGGGACTTTTTAAAGCAAAGCTCCCTAGGTGTTTGGGATCAGGAACAAAAACCATAGCCTTAGGTTAGCCTAGGCTTGGGGACCAGAGAAATGAACGCTGTCTCTGCCCTAAGAAGATGCTTCATTTCAGAGACTTTTGCCTCTGCTGATTTTGGATGCTTAAAAATCCTGGATGTAGAGGAATAGTTGTTGGATAATCCTGACTCATGTGTTTCTATTTACAGTCTCACCTGAGTGTGGCTAAGAACAAAGCTGATTTGAAAATACTTGTGGCTGCTGCTTATAAACCACTGGTTCAATCTGATTTAAATCTGGAAGAAGCTTGACTGGCCTGAGTGACTGGGAAGAGCTGAAGTGGCCCAGAGAACCATAGTGCTTGTTATATTTTCTGCTGTGGTTTCTGTCTTATTAACATGCTCTCTCTGAGGCAGGGTGCAGAAACAGGGATAGCTGAAGTTGCTAGAGGGATAAGGGTTTTTCTTCTGGTTCAGTTTTTCACATCCTCATAACAAACAGCAGTGTTCTTCTGGATGAAAAAAATAGCAAGAACAGACTTGTATACAGACAAGACTTACTGTCGCTGGTTACCTGGTCCTGACTTTTTGCATCATGACTAGGAAATTGGGGTTAAGTAACTTGGCTACATTCACCCAGGTAGTTACTGGTAGAATGAAGACAAAGGTGCGAGTCACTAGTTCCCAGCTCCTGCTTTCTCTGGGTACAGGGACATGAGATGGACACGCTGCCAGTTTAACCTTAGTAGGCAGCTCCATTTACTCCTTTTCCTCTTTTCCCTTTTCCTCTTTTTTCGTTTTTTTGCACTTTCATTTACTAAGAAGAGAGAGAAATCTGCACCTTTCGGCTGTTATATGCAAGAGGCAGAGGCCCAGCAGACACAGACAGACGGGAGAACTCCAGGCAAAAATACAGCCACTTTTACTTTCCTTCTGATCCTCTGTAAGATTACCATATTTATATTCCTTCCGCTGAAATGATTGGATTTCTTCAAAGGCAGAGCAAAAGAAGGCCAGGTGGCCTTGCTAATGGTCATCTAGGGAACTTTTATGAAAGCATATGTATCTTTTACAAGTAATGATTCATTCTTAACGTGGTGATCTTTAGCTGGGAAAGTCTTTATAGGTCAAAGAACCTCATGAATGTTTAAAAAGCTGTTCCTGATTTTTCTAATCTTGGTGGTGTTTCTTGATCTCCTTTGCCATGAAATCCTGGTATGTGTATAAGGAACAGATGGAGTGGTTAATAGAATAATGATAACCAGAGTTTCTTTTCCTACCGAAGTATATAACTAAAATAGTTTCCCCATAGAATATAGCTAAAAGAGAACTTTAAAATATGTATTCATCATAGGATATAATTTAAACTTATTTATCTTCAGTGTTTGATTGTTAGTTTTTCCAAGGAATGGTTATTATAAAGATTTAAAAACATCTGATTGAGCCAGCAGAACAGCTGTAGAAAATTTTTGGTCCTAGGAGACCTGTTCTCATCATAATAACTATTGATGGGATTTTTTGGTCTTGTTGATGATTTATGATTGATAATATACAACCTTTAATCACACCAGTGTTTTTGACTTAAGGCACCAAAACTTTCTGATTTTTTCTCCCCACATTTTGTCCGACAAGTACCAAACTAGATTTTATAATATTCAGATGCTTAGAGTCATTATCTTTATTTCATTACAGCACTGCTAGGGTATTTTCAAATAAGAAATAACATGAAGAAAAATCTTTTTCTGTATCAAGAAAATGTTACCTAAAATCACTGCAGATGTATCTGCAGTTAAAGCTCTATAGATATATGTAGCATCTGTATACATGAGCATCTGGAGACTTTGGGTTATTCGAATTTTGAATTAGCTGAGTGTTTTGGAGAGTGGCTAGGTAGACACACTGCTTAAATTTCCCATAACAGAATGACTTTCCACAGGGGTTTGAAAGTGCTAATGAGCCTTGTGGGAAATTACCAAATATGCATGTTGTATCGCAATAAGATAATTGGTGTTCTTAGGGAATTGGGCAGTCTGTCTATTCAGGGATTTCTGAAACACCTCATGCTATTCAGTGACTTATCTATAAATATTCTATTAGTGTTTTGGAGTCACTTCCCTTTTCTTCTGTTCCTTGTGAAGCTGGATTAATTTTGGTTTGACTGCTCTCCTCTGAAACTTTTGTTGTTTGGTGAAGAGAATAGCAAATAAGATTCGTACCCTGTTACAGCTGCCTTTACTTTTCAAGATATGAAAGTTCTTAGCAGGGGCATCCCCAACACTTCAGTAAGAGCTGAATTCTTCTTATGATTCCACTGGGTACAGACTAATTTGAGGAAGAATATCCATTTTTAAAATTGTACCCAGATCCCAGTTTGATCATAAATTGTTGTAAGGATTTAAAAAGTTTATTTATCTCCTTTAAAAAAGACGAGTAGTGGTTAATATTCTGACATGGGAAATAAGTGAGAGAAAAAATGAAAATTAGGTTATTTGAAATATCTAGTGTTGTCAGGGGCTACATGGAGAATAATTATACACAGAATTTATAATATTATTTTATGATGGTCACCCAGAGTTAGATAACAGAAAGTGCAGGACAACACTGAAGACCTAAAAAATCCAGCCAAGCGCCTGGATCCCACAGCAATGTCCTGCATGAGTCCAGCTAAAGATCTAGAGCCCATGACAATGACTCATGCAAGTCTGTTTTATGAATCTACACTGGGAAGGTCCAAAAGTCAGTGGTGGAAGCTAGAAATTCTTTGGCAGCGAGGTGAAGGATCTGCGCTATAGGTTGAGGGTTCTATACTGGAGCCAAGAAGTGATGCTCAAGATAAAGTCCAAGAGTCGCCGGAAATGTACCATAGCTATCCTCAGCAACAATGAGGTCCTGAGCTCCTCTAGTGATGAAAACAGCTGAGTACATATCAGGAAGCCAGTGTGACAATCTTCTCCTGGAGATTAAACAGCACACATCTTCCCCTCTGGAGCCAGGAAGTGATGTACACAATAAGGACCAAAGCTCCCCCAAAATGAACTGTAGCCATTCTCAGCTATACGGTCCCAAGCTCTTCCGATGATAACAGCCAAGTTCATATCAGAGAACCCAGCAGGGCAAGTTCCTCCAAGGAAAACCAACAGCCCCAAACAACAATACTTAGGAGAACTCACAATGCTACTCTTCCTCTCCAGGTCTCCTTTTTTGTGCTGACACAAAAAACTTGCATTTCGTTTTTAATGTCCTCGGGTGTCCACCCTTGCTCAGCTCCATGCTAATTCAGTTCAGCTGATATTTAAGTTGATCACCAGTTACCAATCTACTACATCTAGTAAGTCCTCACTAATTTTTACTGCATTCAGAACAAGGTCTTTCAGAATTAGTGCTAAAACTCCTAAGCACTTTTATTTAAGGTTTCTTTACATAACCTTTTTTTTAAACTTCAGGGATATTCAGTAGAACAGAACCAACCTTGAAGAGTAAAAATGGGCAACATATCAAAATAGACATTACTTCAAAAATGTATAAATGGCTGAGCAGCACCTAAAAAGATACTTAGTCACCAAATACACACTGAGATACTGCTTCCTACCCACTAGGACTGAGCAGTTCCCTTCCTAGGTCAAAATATGGAAAACATATGTCCACATATAAGCTTGTCCACAAATGTTTATATCGGAATTATTCATAATATTCAAGGAAGTAAAGAATGCCAATGTTATTTGATGTGTAGATTTTAAAATATGTTCTAGCCAGGCATGGTGGTGCACATCTGTAATCCCAGGACTTGGAAAACTGAGGCAGGAGGATCACTGTGTGTTCAAGGCCAGCCTAGGGTACATAGTTCAAGGTCAGCCTGAACTGCATAGTGAGACCCTGTCTCAAAAAAACAAAACAAAACAACCCAGCCACTGAATTTGATTCAGTTCTTCTCAGGTTCTGTTTGCAACCAGATTCATGAAGAATGAAGTTTTTGAGCCTGGGTATCACTGTAGATGACTTTATTTAAGTAATTCTTCAGACTAGGAATCTCTGCTGAGACAAGATTAGATTAATAATTAAGAGCTAGGGGAGGCTCTTTGAGGCTAAGAAGTATGAGCTAAAGATGATCTGTTTGTTTTGTGGGGATGATAAAAACAGTTAAGAATGATTCTGGTGATGATAGTACAACTGTATGGACACACTGAAAGCCATTAAGCTGTACACTGTAAGTTGGTGAATTGTATCTTTTTTCCATATCTTAGTTTGTTTTCTGTTCGCATGACAAGCTAGAAACAGAGTAATTCCTAGAGTAAAGGTTTATGTCTTCCACTGTTCTGGAGGCTGGGGAGTCTAAAGGCATGGTGCTAGCATCCGTTTGGCATCTGATAAGGGCAGGGACATTGTGTAGTGAGCAGAACAAGTTTGCTGTTGTGGTCATTTGTCTCCTTCATGTAAAGCCACTAGTGGAGTCAGAGGGGCCGCACCCTCATGACCTTATCTGGTCCTAATCATCTCCCTCAGGTCTACCTCCAAATATATCAGCATGTGACTTTGGGGATTGAGTTCTAATTCATGAATTCCAGGGACACATATAAAAATCATATCAATCAATTATATCTTTAGAAAGAGTTTACAAAAATACCAGGAGAGCCAAGCACAGGGGTGCATGCCTATAATCCCAGTGGCTCAGGAGGCTAAGGCAAAACGAATTCAGGTACAGGGCCACTTTGGGCAACTTCGTGTGACCCTATCTCAAAATAAAAGGCTGGGGTTGTAACTCAGTGTGAAGGTCCTGGGCTCAGTTCCCAGTACCAACCCACACATACATACACATGCAAATTAATAGACCCAAATGCTTCACATGATAAATATTTATAAAAACCCATAATTGTACTCTCAGCTGAACTAGTTTGTTTTTTGTAATTTCATTGTTTATGTGACAATAAATAACTGAGAGCTAAAATATTTTATGGTAGATACACTACTTGCATTTTAATTTTGTATTATTAGAAAAGTATTTTACTCATGTCCTGTACAAAATATAAGCTTTGAAATAGCCTCAAGACCAATTATTTGAAAATCTGAATATGAAATTTCAGTTGTCCATGTTCTGCTATACACAGTTCTTTTTATATTTTGGGGGAGGATATCATCTTACTAAAGCTATAACTCAGGCATGTTCTATACTATATTGGATGATATAGAGATAAATGACACAAGATTCACAGTAAAGTTTAGGAATTTTCATTACCAGCAGTAAGACAGAGATTGATTTTCTTCTACAGGAAAAGTAAATCTCTTCAAAACTGGTTCTGAAACAGTTGGCAGTTAAATAAATTATAAAGAATAAACTCTGAATGAAAAGATTGATGAAAATATTTTTACATAAATGAACTTTGTTATTTACTTTTCTCTTGACCAAGTTGTCTTTTCTCCTCTGTTTTTATCTAGCAGCCAAAATTTTTGTGAGTGCTTCCTAAGAATTATAGTCTCTGACGTAGAATTAGAATGACAGAGAGACTGCCTTGTACATCCTGATCTTGTGATTGTGTGTTACTCAGCATGGAAATTCTGTGGTGTATATATGTTAAATGTTGGTCTCCCTCTCATTGTATGGAGCCATAAGACAATAAGGCTTTATCAACTCTTTCAACCATTCTTTTGACCCAAGTCAGGACTTCCCAGAAAATATTCCAAGTCCTAAATACCTTTGAACTGTAAGAGTCCACTCTGAATGTCAACACCCCATTCCAGCCCCTTTCCCAGGCCTCTGACTACCCAGTATGCTTTCCTGGTAGCACATAAGGTCTATTTAAGTCTGGGTGCACGATGGGCACTGATGATATAGCAGTGATGAGACCATCCTTTTCCATCCTCCTGGAGGCATTCTGCATTTGTCAGTATTTCTTATTTTGCAGTTTTGTTATACTCAGAATATGACATGATGTATTTCCTTGTCTTTGCATATGCAAAACAAGAAATCTGAAACATAAGAGCAGTCCAAGGTTGTGTTGTATAATTTTTTCATTGTGCCCATAGGCTATTCTGGATATCAGGATCATCATCTGTATGGCAGTCCAAGGTACAATGGAGAAGCACTCAGAAACTACGACGCATACACAGCGGGCCTAAGTGAAGAGGAGCAGTTAGAGAGAGCATTGAGAGCCAGCCTCAGGGACCAAGGTAGGAGTCTTGCACCTAGCAGTTATTTCAAGACACACCTCACATGAAGAGGTGGTCTGAAAAGGGCTATTTGTGATGAACTAAACTTTACATAGTTTATAAAAAGTATATAGAAGAAAAATTGTGCAAATTGTGACTACAAAGAATGGGGTGTGATGCTCTATTCCCAGCAGCCTAAGCTAATAAGGTGCCAGACTGTGTATGTATTGTTATGGTAGTTCTTTTTATAAGCCTGCTGCACTCAGTGCTTTGATATTAAAGTCAAGAAACTTTAAAAAAAAATTTCTTAGGTGCATGAAAAAAGAGAGTTGCTTTGGAATGTATATCTGTAAAGCAGGCTCTGTGTTACTGTGTATCAAACTGTTGCCTAAAGCCCCCACAGATCTTCCTCAGAATCACATGAGCCACACAGTCTCTCTGGGGGGCAGGGTGTGGAGTCTAGAAATTTGTATTTTTAACAGACTTTCCAGTAGATTCCTTTACAAACTGATACATGAGAACCAACACATGGAATGCCATCTCTTTTTGTTCTGGGTTTGAGTTATGGGACTGGGGTATTACTGCTTTCATTGTTTTAGTAGTGACTGAAAAGCAGCCAGTCACTTGGTATGCATTTATGACAGTCTTATAATGCTTCACTTAGAGCGCTGGACCAGATACAAAGGAGCAGAGAGAGGAAACAATGGGACCTGTCCTGAGAAAGGGCGCCATGCATGGTAGGGTATACTGTACAAGTAACTACAGTATCAGGTACCTAGGAAAGGCTCAGGCTGAGTGCTGGAGGCAGACAGAAGGGGGAGACATTAATTCAGATTTTTCTCGGGAGAGTGGCACTAGAGTTGGACCTTCAAAAATGTGTAGGCTTTGGGCTGGGGATTTAGCTCAGTGGCATAAGTGCCTATCTGGTAAGCATGAGGTCATGAGTTCAATCCCTAGTACCGCAAAAAAAAAAAAAAAAAAAATGTGTAGTCTTTGCAGAGATGTATGGAATTTTACGCAGGAATCTAAATTTCAGTGTGAGTACAGAAATAAGAGATGTGCTAACTTTTTGAACAGAGCATTAAGACAGAGAAGAAGGATTGGAAGTAGACCAGGGCCTTGTCACAGAAGTCCTAGAATTCAATAGGCCAGGTGGAAAATAGACCCAGCCAATGGTGTACAGGCCAGTAGCGTTTTTCATTGGAGAGGGATGTGTTCTGAGCTGTGTTTCACGAATCCAGGAGCTGTCATTCTGCAAACAAGGATTGTGCTTTTATGAGGTACCAGGCCTTATGGATCATAAAAATCTATAAATTATGACAGTGTAACTCCTGACTCTAAGGAATATAGTCTCAACAGCAGCAGTGCTCGTGGACTTGGGGAAGACAGGAAATGGGGAGTCAGCCCAGAAGACCAATAGTCTGAATGAAGAATATTAGAATTGTGGCCTATAGTCTGTCACTGCATAACCAATCATTCTGAAACTTGGGGTTTACAGTTTAAAACAATAAACATTTATTCTTGCTCAAGGGCGTGTGGGTCAGCTGGCCCAGAATAACTGATCTTGGCTGTGTTCAGCAGTCAACTGGGGGCTGACTGATCTAGAAGGTCTCATCTGTGTGGCTGACTGCCCTTTGATGGTGCCGATTGGGCCACAGATCAGTTCTCACGGAGCAGTCCAACCTGAGTTGCTCATGGGGCCATGGCATTTGGTTTCTGAGGGCAGTGTGGAAACCAGCAAGGCTCATCACATCACAGGCTCTGTTCTGTGGTGTACTGTTGCTGGAGCAGATTCACAGGGAAAGACAGTAGAGGGGCAGCAGAGTCACACTGCAAAGGTCGTTGTCAGAGAAAGCAGTGGACAATGGGGGCCGTTTTTCTTATGGCAAGACATGTAGTCAGTGGGTGGTGAGGGCAGCAGTCACTAGCAGTGTGCCTTAGCTGTCTCCGTGGCTGTTCCTTTTACACTCAGGACTAAGCCCGACTGGGCTCCTGGTGGGCTGTTACGGGATAATGGGGCAAAGCAGGGCTTCTCGGTGTACTCTGTACTGTTTACCGCCCATGGACCTCAAGTAAGTTCTGCCAGCCGAGGAACATGTCTGTGTTAGTCAGCTTTGTGGTCACTGAGACACAGTACGTGACACCCACAGATGACAGGACGGAAGGTCTGAACTAGGTCTCTGCTTCAGGTTTGCCACACGGCAGGGAGCTTTCCATGGTGCGAGGGTGTTGGGGAGCGAAGACACCTGGTTCTGTGGTACCAGGAGAGCAGGACAGAGCAACAGACGGTAGCAGAGAGGAGCTGGTAGGGGGCCCTGTCTAGGCTATGAGGCCATGCCTTCACCACCTTTCCAGAGCGTGGGAGGCACACCTGGGAGCCTGCTGTTCTAACTCTCTAGACGTGGTGTCCTAGTGCAGTGAGGTTGGCGTATTATGATTGTCATGATGCATAAGAGAAAAGATTAAACTCAAATTGTGTGTCTACTACTGCCCTTTAAGAAAATGTGTATGTCAAAATAGCACAGCAGGGCTGGGGATTTAGCTCAGTGGCATAAGCACCTGCCTTGTAAGCAGGCGGTCGTGAGTTCGATCCCCGGTACCGATAAAAAAAAAAAAAAGCACAGCTTCAGAAAGGACTATAGGGTAATAAAAAAAATCAGAAAGCTCAGGTAGCCTTAGAATATTTTGAATGTGTCTAAGAATAGTCAGAAAGAAAATGCAGGCGGACAAGTATAGTTTTGTAGATTTTTGTAGTGTGTTTTTCTTAAAGGCTTGTCATATACTCCTATTGCAGTTATATAAGTACTTAGTAGTAGTAGCATAGATGTGTTTTTCAGAAAGAGAATGAAAATATGACTCCCTTAAGTAATTGGACCTGTAGATGAGAACGTTCTCTTGATGATTTTGGAGTAATTTTAGAGACTGAATATAATGCTTCCAAGGGAAGGTTTTAATGTTTTGTGGATCAGGAGAAAGTTAGGAGTAGGTTTCTGAGACTGTTTCATTAGTAAAGAATATGTTTTTTATTAAGCTAATATAAGTAGTCAATATTAATTTTCCTGCTTAATAATCAATACTGAAATATTTTAAATATTTAGTAACAGGCAAAAAAGATTAGATACCTACTGCCTTGAGATTTCAGAAAGTAATCAGATGGTGTGTTGATTTTTCACAAGTTTAACTTTTAAAAAAATCCTAAAAATATCTTTACTGAACAGCAACAGAATTCACTGAAGCCTTTCTACCTTTATTTTAAGTAATTTTTATGTCTTGTATCCTTAAAACATTTCAGTGAATGTAAAACAGTTTTACTTTAAAATGACCTTTATACATCAGAAAGCATAGGACTGTCTTGGTGAGACTGTTTCTGGGATTATTTTGAAGCCTGGGTAATGTTTCTACTTCTGTCTAGCTAGTTGTTTGATTTTGAAAAATTTGGCTTCTACTTTATAAGTATGGAGTTAATTTCTAAAGTTCTTCATAGTGTAAAGCTGCTCTAAGAAGAGCAGAGTTTGTTTGGGACCATTTTCATCATCTCACCTTTCATTTTAACAAAGCCATAGTTTTTTTTTCCTCTTGCTCTTTTTTCCTTTTTCTCCTACAAGAGTATTTTCAGAATTTAAAGCCTTTTATTCTTGCTGTTCAAATAAAATTACAAAAGCACCTCCTACTTGACATCTGTCATTTAAATTGCCACTTGATATATCTGAAACTTGGGGGCCTTGTTCAGTGTTCCCTCGTACAGTGAGTGTATTCTGTTATCAGCATCTCTAGGTCTTTTTATTTCATAGAATAGAAGATGTACAGTGTTCAAACATTGTTTATTGAATAAATTGTACTAGGCAAATTAAGTAGGTTAGGGGAAAAATTAGATTTGATCCTAACTATACAGTGTATTAAAATTCTAAGTTAATTGTATGAAATATAACATTAAACAATTTTTAATAGAGATGAATAGTTAATTGTTGACTGTTTGGATATATGAATTTCTAAACCAAAAGAATTGTGGAAGAGAGGAACAGTAGATTTTTCTAACAAAGTGTTCAACAATGCCATTATATATAAAGAACCCATACAGTGCAGTAAGTCACACTTGTTCCTATTAGGAAATTGAAAAACAATTTGAGTATATGATGTAGAAAAAGACCAGTGTACAATTTCCTGTATATTAGCACAGCTAATTGAGTTTTTTAAGTCTTACCACACTTAATGTTGGCAGTGATACAGGTATTTCTCTATACAGAAAAGTATGTAATAATAATGTAGTAATGACAATGTAAATTGGTGTAACTTTTCTGGAAAACACAGTGGAAATGTACAGTCCAAGGCTTACCTTCAGTGATTTCTTGACTCAAAGCCCAAGGAAATAATAGAATTATAGCCCCAAATTAATGTACGAGCTACTTATTCCATACTTAAATATAATGTGAAACTTAAACAAATTGAAATTTGTACAACAGTGTGCAAATTACTTAAATACAGTTGTAAATAGAGACTACTATGAATGTAGTAAAAATAACAATTTTGAATAAAGAGAATATAAAAATGAATATAACAGTTACTGAAAAAAAATACAGTGCAAAAGTTTATGGACCATATGATCAGAATTTTATAAATTCAAACCATATTTTCCCATAGGAAAAAATAAAAATAATCAAGCCTTTTAAAAATCGAACTCATGACCTTGCGTTTGCCAGGCAGGCACTTAAGCTACTGAGCTAAGTTCCCAGTACCAAAATATAAGTAAATACATTAAAAATGTCCATTTAGGATCTTAATAAGACAGTCACAGAATATTTCAAGAAAAATGAAATTAAAATTAATGTAAGTTATTTGCAAACCTGATTGTCTTGTTTCCCTCTGTTGCCTTATAACACGACATATACAGAGAAACCTCTGAAGACCTGTTGTCTGGAGACATGTGCTGTTTGAAATACTCACTGAAGATAAAATACTGTTGCCAAAGAAGCTTGGAAAACATTAACTTAATAATTGCATTGTTAATTGCAGAACTAATTAGC